GGCACAGTGTCTCACGCCTATAATCCCAGCACTTTGGGAGGCCAAGGTGGGCAGATGACCTGAGGCATGGCCAACATGGTGAAACCAGCCTGGCCAACATGGTAAAACTTTGTCTCTACTAAAAATGTAAAAAATTAGCCGGGCATGGTGGCTCATGCCTGTAATCCCAGCTACTTGGGAGGCTGAAGCAGGAGAATCGCTTGAACCCAGGAGGCAGAGGGAGGTTCCCCAAGGGCAGGGCAGACGCATCTGATTTTAGGTTGCATTTGTATAGATTTAGAAGACTACATGGGCTAACACAAAAGCCAATATGCATTGATAAAATTCTTGGAGAACTTTCATCTTTGGGGTAGGGCTAAAGGGAGCTTTCTACATTTCTAACTTTTCTACTATTAAGATTTGTTACAGTAAACACACTAATTTTGTAACAAAAGTTAAAGATGTGAAATAGTCTCACAGGCTTGTGCTTGGAGAGAAGGGATTTGTTTTTTGTCTTTCATTTTTTTTGAGATGGAGACTTGCTCTGTTGCAAGGCTGGAATGCAATGGCAGTGATCTATGATCACTGCAGTCTCCACCTCCCAGATTCAAGCGATTCTCCTGCCTCAACCTCCCAAGTAGCTGGGACTACAGGCGCCCACCACCACGCCCAGCTAATTTTTTTTATCTTTAGTAGAGATGGGGTTTCACCATGTTGGCCAGACTGGTGTTGAACTCATGACCTCAGGTGATCTGCCCACCTTGGCCTCCCAAAGTGCTGGGATTACAGGCATGAGCCACCACACCTGGCCAGGATTTAATTTTTAAAAACATGGCAGGTCTGTGGGCCTCAGGACTCCAGGGAGGCTTGGAAGCCACAGCACAGCAAGGAAGGTGGCACAGGGGAGGTGGCCTGGGATCTGCACCAGGCCTGGCTTCTTAACCGCAAAAGCAATGCTCTCATTAGAAAGAAAATCCATCTGAGGCCGGGCACGTGTCACTGCTGGATGCTGTGCCAGCTGAGGGCACGGCCCTGAAAGGACCAGGCCCTTCAGGGTTGGTGGGAACCCTCGTTGGCTTCCTACGCCCCAGGTCTCCAGCTGAGGGGGCCCCGCTACTCCAGACAGGAGAAGCCCTACGTGGACACTGGAGCTGCTTCCCAACTCAACCCGCCTGGCTCTCAGCAGGTCCTGCTCCCGGCCCCTCCACCACAGGTGGGCCGGAACAAGACAGTGGCCCCGACCCTGGCTGGCTGTCGGGAGGAAGGGCTGCTGTGATTCTGGAGGCTTCCCGCCCTTACCAGGGTGCACATCCCTCCCCACTGTCATGTGTGCCTGCCAAACCATCTTCCACAAATGGGGCAACTTTTTGTGTGGACAGCAGAGACACAAGGGGGGGCTCCCCCTCCTGAAGAATTCGGTCCAAGAGCCATTTGGAGGTGCCGAATGAGGTCCCGCACAGGGCGCTGAGGGAGGAGGAGGTCCCTGCAGGGGCTGCACTCAGGTTGAGGAGTCCCGTGAGTTTCTCACGAGGTCAGTAGTTCAAGACCAGCCTGGCCAACATGGTGAAACCCCGTGTCTACTAAAAATATAAAATTTGGCCAGGCATGGTCTGGTACGTGCCTATAATCCCAGCTACCGGGGAGGCCAAGGCATGAGAACCACTTGAACCCGGGAAGCGGAGGTTGGAGTGAGCCAAGATCATCCAGCCTGGGCAACAGAGTCTGTCTCCAAAAAAAAGGCGCAGGGAGGGAACAAAGCACACAGGTGTGCTGGTTCTGCCATGCTCCTCACCGGCTACTTTCTGGGCTCCTGCATGGATGTTCCACAAGGCTCAGGCCAGGCAGGGCTTTGTGGCTGCAGGAATTCTGGGATCTGACCAAAAGCAGGAATGCCCGCCCAAGGGTTCCAACAGAAAGTGTCCCCGCCCTCCCCGAGTTCTGAGTTCTGCCCGGGGAGGTAAAGGAGGCACAAAGGTCCGTGACAGCAATAACCCAATTTCACCCATCTCCAGGGACAGGGACAGAGGCAGCCTCCTCTCCCAGGCCCAAACTTTGGAATGGGGTGAAAAGAGAAGGGAGGGAGGGCAGCCGCTTCTCTGCCAGTCTAGAAGCCTGAGGGAGGGCTGGAGCCCCTCCCAGCTCAGGCCAAGGCTGATCTGGCGAAGGGCCTGTGGCAGCCGGATCCAACGAGGAGGACCCTTGTCTACACTACACCCCACAGGTCTGGCAGTGCTCCCTGTCCCTTCAGCCAGCACCTTCCCATGTAGGAAAGGACACCTGAAAGCCAGCTGTAAAATCCCCAGCAAAACCCTGCAGCCTTCCCAGCCCTGCCCCCACATCTGTGAGGTCGGCATCTGGGGCAGACGCTCCTGCACACAGCGCACCACCCACCCGCCCCCACACCACCCACCGCCATGCCGCTGGGCCCTCCTACCTGCCAAAACGCCCCATGCCATCCACCACAAGCCTCATCCTCCTCTTCTCCCGTGCCTCTGCCATGACGTAGCGGGCTCCGAGGAGCAGGGGCACCCCTACTACCGTGGTGGACAGCACCTTTCTCCACAGGGGTGCAGGGCTTGAGAACCTGAGGGGAGACAAGCATGCAGCCTGGAGGCACCATCTACCCCCCATTCAGCTGGGCTCTGACCTCTGCCCCCCACCATCCAGAGTGCCACCTCTCACTCCTGTGTGTACAGCCATTCTGATGGTGTGGTCACCAGAGAACACTCTGCATCAATGTCCCCTTCCCTGAGCCCACATGGCCATAAGGGGCAGGTCTCATTTGGGTCTGTCCAGAGACCCAGCCACGGAGCCATGCGCCATGGAAATGGATCTTCAGGTAGACTGGAAGCAACTCAATGGCAGGTCTGTGCTACTCATGGAACAGGGGCCACCTACACCATGGAGAATTACAACCACTGTCCACCTCGCAGGGTCTAACTGGATGGTCATCAGCACAGCAGCGACTGACAAGATGCTGAGGTCGGCCATGCTGAGTCATGGACGATGCAAGGCAAGGAACAGAGCTTTGTCCATGCTGAACGCAGTAGGATCCCCATACAGGCTGAATTTAGCAGGAGCCCAGTACCCGCTGGATACAACAGGAGCTCTGCTGAACACGGCAGAAGCTCCCTCCATGCTGAGTGCAGCAGGCGCTCGAGCACCCGTCTGTTTCTACGCCTGGCCACGTCTGTCCCAGGGACACAGATTCTCCTACTGCAGAGCTCTGAGAAGGACACCCCTGCCAGGTTCACCGAGCCAGTGGTGCTCAGGCAGCTCACCCTGCCTGCCTGGCCTGCCGCCTCTACCCTCCACAGCCTTCCTGCCTTGCCACCACCCCTTGCCCACTGTGGTCCGGCCTTCCTGGCCTCAGGCCTTGTCTAGCCTTTCCTTCTGCTCAGAACCCTCCCCTCCACATTTCTTCTTGCTGCTCTTCTTCTTGTGTGACCCCTACCTACAGTTGCCCTGCTTTCCTCCAGCCTCTGCACCATGACCCATTTGGTTCTTCAGAGCAGGCGCTCCATGTGTACTCTTCCCAATTCGCTAGCTGTCTGCTCTCAGTGCTGTGGTCAGGGCATGCCCACCCCTGGCGTGTGCCTCACCACGGGTCAGGACCTGGGGGTCTCTGGTCCCAGTGCACTGCACTGAGGAGCAAGCATATCCTGTCTTGGTTGGGGGTACAGGAGAAGGTCCAGCCTCGGGCCCTCGACCGCCACCTCTGCATGTCCACAGACACTATCCATGCCAACCTGGTGAGAGGCGAGTGCCCAGGGAGGACTCCATACCTTGGAGGAAGGACCCTGACGTTTCTCCTGAAGAACACAGCAGGGGATGGCCAGGGCTTCCGCCTGCTGTGCAGCAGAGCAGAGTGGAAATGGCAAAGCTGCAACTGCAAAGAGAGGAAATTGTGTGGGGTCAGATGAGGCCAGGACACATCCCGCCCTCTGCCACCACCAGTGCTTCCATGCGCTGGAGACTGAGGCAGCCAAGCTGCACTTCCCTAACCTCATTAACCTCATGTATTAGTCCTTTCTCACACTACCATTAAGAACTACCCAAGACTGGGTAATTTATGAAGAGAAGAGATTTCTTGTTTGTTTGTTTTTTTTTTTAGACGGAGTTTCGCTCTTGTTACCCAGGCTGGAGTGCAATGGCGCGATTCCGGCTCACCGCAACCTCTGCCTCCTGGGTTTAGGCAATTCTCCTGCCTCAGCCTCCCGAGTAGCTGGGATTACAGGCACACGCCACCATATCCAGCTAATTTTTTGTATTTTTAGTAGAGACGGGGTTTCACCATGTTGACCAGGATGGTCTCAATCTCTTGACCTCGTGATCCACCCGCCTCAGCCTCCCAAAGTGCTGGGATTACATGTGTGAGCCACGGAGCCCGGCCTGTTTTTTTTTTTTTTAATAGAGACAGGGTTTCACCATGCTGACCAGGCTGTTCCTAGGATTACAGGTGTGAGCCACCGTGCCCGGCTGAGAAGAGGTTTTTTTTTTTTTTTTTTAGACAGAATCTCACTCTGTTGCCCAGCCTGGAGTGCAATGGTACAACCTAAGCTCGATGCAACCTCTGCCTCCCAAGTTCAAGTGATTCTCCTGCCTCAGTCTCCCAAGTATGGGACGACAAGCATGTGCCACCACGCCCAGTTTCACCACGTTGGCCAGGCTGTTCTCAAACTCCTGAAGTCACGTGATTGGCCCTCCTTGGCCTCCCAAGTGCTGGGATTACAGGCATGAGCCATCGCTCCTGGCTTAGAAAGGAGGTTTAACTAACTCACAGTTCCGCAGGCTGTCCAGGAAGCATCACTGAGGGGCCTCAGGAAACTTACAGTCACAGCAGAAGGCAAGCACAGCATGGGCGAAGCAGTGTGGGGCAGGGAAAGAGGCCGGGCAAGAGTGCAAAGAGGAAAGTGTCACACACACTTTCAAACCATCAGATCTCTGAGACTCACTATCATAAGATCAGCAAGGGGGAATTCTGCCTCATGATCCCATCACCTCCCACAGGCCCCTCCTCCAACACCGGGAATCACAACTCCAGTTGATGAACTCCAGGAGATGAGCTTTGGGTGGGGACACAAAGCCAAACCACGTTACCAGGTCAGTCAGGAAAGACGGTCAGCACCTCCGGCTCAGGCCAGGAAGCTGGGTTCCCGTGTTGGACTCAGAAATGGAAACACTATCCTATCTCTCGGGAGCAAGGCTGAGAATCACAGTATCACAGGAGAGAAGGCTAAACGCAGCTTAACCCAGGGCTTATGGCTGGGATGCTGACAGGTCATCAAATACACCCATCTCTGAACGTCCCCTCAGTCACTGAAAGAAGAGATGGGGTCGCCATCTGGCTCATCTGGGATGAGGCCCACCCCGTCCCTGCCCTGCACTCTCTCAGCAGCACCCTGACCTGTCATTTACTATTTCCTGCTGCTGAGACCACTGACCACCGGCCAGAGGAAAGCAGTCCTCATCTCAGGAGGAAGTGGTGACAGTGCCCAGCCATGGAATCCGACAGCAGACGCCAACCTCGAAGGTGGACACCTGGACAGGAGGAGTGGCCTGGGCAGGTCACTTTTCTGAAAACAAATAAAAATACAAGGAACATATAACTTACTGAGACCCCACAGACAGGGACCCTGTACAGCTTCTACGTGGAAAAGGGGAGGGGTGGCCAGGGTGGAAGACGGGCCGCAGCTAGAAGGGCACATGTAAAGAAGCCCTAAAGGCCGGGTGCTGTGGCTCACACCTGCAATCCCGGCACTTTGGGAGGCCAAGGTGGGTGGATCACCTGGCCAACATGAAGAAACCCCGTCTCTACTAAAAATACAAAGAAAAAAAAAAGTAGCCAGGTGTGATGGTACATACCCGTAATCCCAGCTAATTGGGAGGCTGAGGCAAGAGAATTGCTTGAACCTGGTAGGTGGGGGTTGCAGTGAGCAGAGATGGCTGCACTCCAGCCAGGGCAACAGAGCGGGACTCCATTTAGACAAACAAATACATAAGGCCGGGGGCAGTGGCCTGTAATCCCAGCAATTTAGGAGGCCAAGGCGGGTGGATCACAAGGTCAAGAGTTTGAGACTAGCCTGGGCAACATAGTGAAACTCCATCTCTACTAAAAATACAAAAAAATAGCGGGGTGTGGTGGCAGGCACCTGTAATCTCAGCTACTTGGGAGGCTGAGGCAGGAGAATTGCTTGAACCTAGGAGGTGGAAGCTGCAGTAAGCTGAGATTGCACCACTGCACTCTGGCCCAGGCAACAGTGCAAGACTTCATCTCAAAAAAAAAAGGAAAAAGAAAAAGAAGCCCCACCACGAAATGTGCTGCTTTATCTTTCTGACTATGAAAACATCACATAAAACTTAAAGTATAATAATAATTAAAAAAAAAAAGCCCACAGCTCCCACATGCTCACTGGCAACCTCGGTCTCCCAATCACATTTGACCTATGATGAGGTCTTACAACTCCCTCAACTCCACATTCCCCAACTGAGGGCTCTTCTAACAAGTCAGGGTTTGGGGGAAAACACTGCATAGTCAGTCATGCACCATGGCACCAGCACTAACATGGTTGTCAACACTGGACCAAGTAAGGAACCGACTTGCCAGCTGATTTCTGGCCAGAGCTCAGAGCCCTAGAGAAAATTTCGAGGACTTCAAACAACACGAAAGCCAAAGGAAGAAGTCCATGACCTACTGTCCCTAGAGGAGGGGCTGACAGAAACCTCTGCTCGGCGAGGTCACATGCAGCAAGTGCTGATTCACAAGGAAAACCCCAGAGGCAGCCGGGCAGCGACTTGTAGGCATATCATCCACCTGCTGCCTACCCAGCCTACACCTCCTGACCCTGGCCACCTCTGATGCCAGCACCTGCACAGCCGGAGGTCCAGAGATCAGGCAGCTGTGCCCATGGACTGTGGAGAGGCTCAGAGCAACAGCTCGTAAAGGGCTGCAAGGCGGCTAAACTCCAGCTGGGCATCCCAACCACCACCTCCCTCATCCCTTACTAACAATGCAAGCTGCTTGCATTTCAGCAGGCTCCATCAAGCAAATGAGGCCAGGAAAGTCATGGCTCTCTGATTGCTGTCTCCAATAACTGTTTTCTGCTGTTTCCTCAGGAACCAGCACTGCAGAAGGAGCTCCAGCTGCGTCTCTCACTCCCATTCACATCCAGGACAAAGATCCCTCCAGTAGACCCTGGGGTGTCATCACCCAACCCTGGTCCACCAGTAGCCCCGCTCACCCCCATGCCTGGCTCCACCTTGCTCACCATGGTCCTGTCCTGCCACTGTCCTCATCACACGCCAGTGTGACTGTTAACTTACAGAACCTGTCTCCTCACTAGACCGTGAGCAGGGCTACGTCTCAACCGTCCCTGTACAAGCAGGCACTCAATGAACGCCTACCGAATGAGACCAACAGCTATGATGCACAGGACTAAACAGAACCCCACATGGTCTGGACTAGGACCCCCGCCAAGCAACAGGCAGCAGGTCACAGGCAAGAAATGGCAGCAGCCCCTGCCTCGGGCTGGCCCTGGATGCAACCCAGGTGGACAAGGCCTCATGCTGATGACCCACAGTGCCCACCAGAGCCCATGAGGCTGTGCAAGAGCCTGGCTCCTTGGAATGTGGGGTGCCCAGCACATCCAGACTATCCTCTCTGAAATTCCCATCACACAGGAGAGGTCCCCAAGGCCCAGAGAGGTTATAGGGGACTGAGCCTGCAGCCACACGTCCCAGAAAGACTTCCCAGAATGCAATCCCAGGCAATTCTCACGTGACACACAACCCCAACCGCACCCAGAACACAACCTCGAAACTGCCAGAAGATAAGCACAGTCTTCTAGACGGTCGGCTCGCAGGGCGTTTCCCCCACACACCCCAGACAGCCCTGGTGACTCATCCCTGCAGCTCCCCTCACTCCCAAAGCCTTCCAGTTTGGACAAGATGAGATGTGTCCCCTCTGCCCCAACCTCTCATGCTTTCTTATAGGGGGTGTGTACAGTCTGCACAGAAACACCTGTCTTTCCAGAGTTACTTTAGTCACAACTGACTACATTGAAAGCAGCAAGTGAGTGGTAGCGCTCACACAGATATCATAAAGTTCACAAACCAAAGGGCATGCTTTGGCGGCAAAACCATGCCCGTGTGTGCTCACGTCTGGTTTCCCAGGGCCGACAGATGAGGACGGCACAGGTCACCAGACAGGCCCATCCTCGGCAGTGAGAATCAACTGCTGAGTGTCAGAATGACGCCAGAAACGAAAAACCACGAACGGGTGAACAGAGCCTGGGTAACGCAGAAGACCTGGGCACCTCAATAGGAGGGAAAGCTGAGGCACATAGCTGTCTCCAAAGTTAGGAAGAGAGACTGAAAGTCCAGAGGGTCTGGCAACCACAGACACCGTCCTTCTCCTTCTCCGAGAGTGTGTGACCTCTCCGCCCCAGCAAGCTCTCAAACTCCGACGGGCCCCAGCCCTGCTCACCGGCCATCAACAGCTCCTAACTGTTAGGAGCTAAGCCAACCTGTTCACTCGCTGGGGCTGGGGGGAGGGGGGACTGAGTGGCCTGCACGTGGGAAGATTTTGTCACCTGGAAGGAGCTGCACTGAAGGCCACCTCGAGCCCATGAAGCACCCTGGGGTCACACAGCTGGGCTGGGCACGAGTGGGCCGTCCGTCCGTGCTATTAATAGTCAGCCAGGCAAGGTTAGCTTATCGCCAAACACAAGCTCTGCAGACATTCCAAGAAAAAAAGGACGGGCGCCGGGAGAAGCCTCTTCCATCTCTTCGGGAAGTGGGTGGGTAACCAGCGTGTCAAGGTCTCTGCCCCGCCCCCCCGCAGTCCTAACTGCAGAGACTGCAAAACGGGACCCGGCGGCCATGTGGGAGCGGGGAGACGCCGAGGGCCTGAGAGAGGCGGCCTCGGAGCCGTGGGGAGCGCGCCCCTGAGCCGGAGCAGGGGGACCGAGCACAGCCCGCCCTGCAGCCCCCGCCCGCCCGCCGTCTCAGGCAAGGCAGGCCCCGGCGCGGAGGCAAGCGGAGGACGTCCGGGGGCAGCAGGCCGGGCGGGGAGGCGTCTGTGACCCCGGGAGGCCGCCTCGGGGAGGGGACGGCGCCAGAGCCTTCCCTGCGAGGCCCCGGGTCGGCTGAGTACGCGCTCTCCGGGGCGCCGGGCACCCGCCTCCGTGCTGGGCTGACGCCCCTGCGGCTCCTGCCAAGAAATCCAGCTCTCGGGGAGGCTGAGGCGAGCGGAGAGCTGGAGCCCAGGGGTTCGAGACCAGCCTGAGCAACAGGAACACGGCGAGACCCCTACTCTATTAAACTAAATACAAAGTCCGCCGGACGCAGCGACGCCGGCGGTGTCAGCTACTGCGGGGCCGAGGCGGGAGGATGCCCCGAGCCCGGGAGGCGGAGGCTGCGGCGAGCCGAGATCGCGCCACTGCGCTCCAGGGAGACGGAGCCAGACCCTGCTTCCAAAAAAAGCCGGAAAAACAGCCCGGAGGGTTTCTGGGGTGGGGTCTGGGGACCTGAGGGCCTCGGGTCTCTAGGGCTGGGGTGCGCAGGACCTCGGGCGCCCCGGCCGGGCGGCTCCTCACCGGTCGCCACATCTCCGACCGCCTCTCGCTCCGCTCCCGCCGGCGACGCCTCGCGTCTCGCAGCCCAGCAGTCACTGCGGGAGGGCGCGGAGTGCGCACGCGCTGGGGCCGGCAGCCCCGCCCATCGGCGGTGGGCGGAGCTGAAGGCCACGCCCCGAGCCGTGCCGGCCTCCGCGGCTGAGCAGCGCCTTCTGGCGGCCACCAGAGGCCTACCACCTGGCGCCCAGACTGCGCCCGCCTGAGAGCGGAGGGTTCCAGGCTGGCTCCGCGCGCAGTGCGCGTTCCCGGGGCAGGCACCTTGCCTGCAGTGAAGGACTGCAGTGAGAAGCACATGGATAATGCGGGATGGGCTGAGGGCTTTCCGAGGTCTTCATGGCCCGGTATCGGCCCCTCCTCAACAATCCGTGCCGGTGTGATTACAGTGAATATCTCTTTTTTTTTTTTTTTT